CCCTATCTGCAACAACCAAACTGTTTTACCACTTCCAGGACTGATTCATTCAAGTGAAAACATGGAAACAGAGCAAGAAGTCCTTTTAGGATATGCAAAATACCCCAATGTCGGAAAGGTAAACAGAGCCACGAGCTGAGGTGGGGCCTGCAATTTCCCCTGCACGGGTTCTACCCAAGAAGGATTTGACAAATCCATGCTAACATTTGATGCTCAAATGCCAGCCAGAAAACAAATCTCACTGAAATCCTTGCAGGCCTTCACTTTTTTCTGCTGGGCTCAACACTTCAACAGAGCTAAGAGTTCTTAAGAGCTCATCTGGTTTAAGGCCAAAGTATCCAGTGTTTTACTCAATCATGTTGATAAAGAGGATTATCAGCCACTTACTTAACACACTCTTCTGCAGTGTTTCCATCCCTCTGACTGCTCACCTATTTGTGCTGAAGATAACCTGTTTTACAATATGTGCAAGTTAATAATTCTCACCAGTGTATAAGGTGTACACCATGTGCTTGGTAGAGACAAAGACTTGGTGTGCCCCATAAAGCTTTCCATCAAGGCAGTCACATTAAAAAAAAAAAAGAAAAAAAACAAAACAAAACAAAACAAAAAAAAAACCCAAAAAAAGAAATAAGGGAAATATGGAAAGCTGAATTTAGCAATTTTTTTGAACCCCACCTTCACACAAAATCTTAAATATCTCTGAGGAAATATAAGGAGAATCTGTTATAATTTTTTTTGTACTGGCAATTTTAACAAAATCTAGAATAAAAGCAAGCAAGGGCCTGAGCCACAGTATTCCAAGCAAACCTCATTAGAGCAGATTGGGAATGGAGCTGTGCCAGCTGAACACTCCGTGATCCCCAGAAGCACAGCATACGTGCACTTTTGTGTGACCTTCACAGACACTGCCATAGGCTCTACACCTTCAAAAATTCAAATAGTGCCTAAGGACAGAGATGTCAGTGTTCACACTTCTTTTGCAGTGGTTTTGTAATGGGAGACCTTTAATTTACTTCAGATTTTTTAGGCTTCCCTCACATTTTAAGAAACTTGCAGTTTAAATAAAGCAGAATGCAATTTGATTTAAAACTCTCCATTTCTTCACCTGCTGCCATTTGAAAGGAGGCACCTTCTATTTCGTATGGAATGAATGCAAACAAGTCTCATGAAGATCTTTTCCATTCTTTGAACAACCACCAATGAAACTCATGTCTGCATCTTTTTGGTCCTGAAATGCAATCTGAGGTCAAGCTGAACATTTCTTAATTAATTCAACTTTCAGGGCTTACAAGTCTAAATAAGTTTTACAGTAGTTGAGGTTCTCTCTCGAAAAAATCCATCAGTAGCCATCTCAGAACTACGTCAAGATCGTCCCTTGCACTTGGAGGAGAAAATAAAGCAAATCATACCAAATCCACTAGTTATACCTGTGAGTGACATGTGGAAAGAGAGCTTGAAACTCACAAACCCTAAAGATTTAGTGTTTTGGGTTTTTTTTAAATAGATGCATTCACTTACGTGAAATCATAGAATCACAGAATATTCTAAGTTGGAAGGGACCACTAAGGATCACTGAAGTCCAGCTCCTGGCCCAGCACAGGACATCCCACCATGTTCCTGAGAGAGTTATCCAAATGCTTCTTGAACTCTGTCAGGCTTGGGGCTGTGACCACTTCCTGGGGAGCCTGTTCAGTGCCTGACCACCCTCTGGGTGGAAAACTTTCCCCTCATAACTTCAGAACATTTATTATCATGATTTTCAAATTCTTCTCCAAGCTCTAAGATGTGTCATTGGCCTAGAGTTTCTTGGCTTTTAACACTGTAGTTCTGTAGATTTGAGTTCTGATACATGAAGGTTGTATATGATTACTCATGCATAAAAGTGAAATTAATCCAGGCTGCTCCAATTACAAGCTGTAATTCCAGTAGAGGGAGAAGTCATTAGGTTCCAGATTCAAGGGCATCCCTTTGGGGAACTTCCATAAACTTTAACTACGGGGGCAATAAACACGGAGTGACAGTTCACATTAACTGAAATAATAAAACAGTGAGGTCATTTCTCTATAATGCTTATCAAAATTTTATCTCAAGTAAATGATTTATGGCACCCATCAGGGCTACTCCTCTTTCTGCCTCGCAGTCAGACATTCTCTTAAGGAGAGATACCTTTCAAAAAGAAGAAGAGACAATCTTCCCTGAATTTCTCAGCTGGCAGTCTCCAATAGATAAGATAATGTTGCAAGCAGACACCGACTGCTTATTTCCACTCTGAGGGACTCGGTGCACGTCTACATGCAAAGAACATTTTTATTTACCTTCTCCACTGCTCTGGTCATACAGAGATCAGAAGCCACAACCTGCTCTCCTCTCCTGATTACTTCCAGCACTACCACAGGCTCTTCAAGCATTGTTTCGTTCAACCCAGAGATGGTGGTTTTCCAGGCAGAGAAAGGAAATCAAGCACAAGCAGTCTGTAAAAGACTTCACAAACTGAATTCCTGAATTCAGAAGAGCCCTAAGGTACTTGTCTTAACACTGAAATGAGCTGGGCCGCTGACTTCAACCACATCACTGAACTGGATCTCCTCAATTTGTGCAATGCTCAAAACTCCAGATTATTTTGACAGGAATGCTGGGGGACCCAGGAGCGCTCGTCCTCAGTAGCAGTTACGTAAATCCACCAGGCGTTAATCTTTCCTTGTCTAGGATGAAGTCTGTCATCTGATACTGCCACCAAAGCTATTTCTCCAAAGTAAACTCTGTAACTTGCACAAGCTAACACCTTAGCCTGTTTATTTACATTTTTCTTTAACGACTGCTGCGTCTAAAATTCTATAGGCAAAGAAATTTTAAAAAATCAAACAAAACCAAAAAAACCCCAAACCCTGCATTGCACTTCCTTGTCTTCTTCTTTCCTGCCCACTGCACTTTACCATGAGGAAAAGGGAGAGCTCTATTCCAAATCAGGGGAGAGAGGAACAGAGAGGTCAGGAGATACGCCCACATCCTGCAGATAGTCATTGCAGAAACAGTGTGAGAATCTGGATGTGAATATTAAAACAGTCACTAATTAAAACATTCAAAATGCCCACACATTTTTTTCCTTCTGATGTTCTTCATTATTGACACTATATGTGAGGCTGCATTTTGCAGCCCTTGTGGGTGGGCATAGGTCATCCTCTGCTTCTGTATATTCTATTTTCCCCATGAGAGGCTTATGCAATATCCTGATGTTCAAACAATAACGGAGTCATGGAAAATGTGCACTCGCATGAAAACTTTAGGAGGGGGATGGGATGAGATGGAGAGCTGTCCCATTATACTCAAAAGTTTCAATTTAAACCAGCTGTACAATAAATAACTTCCTGCACTTTGCCACAAAGACGCTGCAAAGGATACTCTCTGAAAACAAATATTTTTGGGTCAAGTGTGTATATCCACTACAACGATAACACTTCCTGCAAGCTCAGCAACAGCCACATGGGATTCTGCACAGCCTCACCAGGTTCCAGTGTTGCTCTACTTCAGAAGCAGGACCTGGCTTGCTGTCTCTCACCATAGCATTTCAGCCTGCTCAAGTAGCTCTCCTCGATGTTAAGAGAGAGGGCTTCCCTAGGGAAACCTGTCTGCAATCTCTTGTCCTTGTGCCAGTGGGAAAGCCCAAGCCTGACTCCATGGCCACAGTACATGTACATGCCCAGTCCATACAGATGTTTTCATGTGAATTTCAGGATGAAATCATCTCAGTCTTTTCCCTTCAGCTGTAAAATGAAAGGAACTGAATTGAGACCCTTTCTCTTTCCTTCACCCACCCATCTTTTCACGTAACTTATAGGAAATCAGTTCCTTTCACCTTTCTATATCCTGTGAAAAATTTGTCCCCAGAAGGCTAAAGTTTTAGAGGTCAGGGCAAAACACATATTTATACAAGGTAAAAAAAAATGGAATTTGTGTGACTGGAAGAAACTCAGCTAAAAACAAATACTTCATGATCCATCACCATAAATGGAATGCTTTCTGCCATGTAAAGACACCCATGACCAAAACTCACTAACGAGACACCATGGTGTGCACAAATTATGCAGAATTATTATCTATTTTCAGATAATTTAAATACTTAAAGATAACTACTACACATTTCTATTTTATTAGATAATGCAAAGTATTTGGGTTCTTTGTTTCTGCATGGCATCACTTAAAGTATGATGAGCTATGACCTAATGCAAATCTTCTGGTATTTCATATTTCCCCCTAGAAGTTTTGATGCCTACTGAAAGGTAATGATGGGGAAGTATCTGTTTTCATTTTAAGGTAAAGTTTTCAGTGACAACAGCCTAGGAAAAACTTGAGAAATGTACCAGGAAAAAAACCCCACAACAAAACAAAACAAAGCACAAACAAAACAAAAACTCACAAGACAAATAAAAGCAATGTTTGATATTAACAGGTTTATACAGTTTCATATTAACAGGTATATACACTCTAACTTCAAGGTTTCTTTCTCTCTTTTTATAACTTGGGGATGACATGGCTCATTCAGGCAGCTGTCACAATAATTCATAACATATTTGGCTGAAAGAGTGGAGTTGTATTTCTTTGCTATAAAACTTTTTGTGTTTGCTCCGAAATTTCCCATACACTTTTTTTCCAGCTAAGGCAGTGGGCAAACATGCCTGATCAAACAACCATGCAAAAATATGCATTGCATATCTAACCTGAATCTGTCTGTCAAGTCTTTGGGGCTTCAACAGCTTTAGCTATGACAAACTGACTTTCCTCAAAATCCATTGTTTACCACGGAAGGGTTTTATAAGACACTTACATAGAGCATCAATGCCAAAGAGAAGCCATGCTGGCACAGCACAAACATTTTCTAGCTCCTGTAGTGGCAGGAGGATGCTCTGCTAGAAGATATCAGGCATGTATGACCTCCAATGACCCACAATAGCTGCGCAAGTCCTGCACCTCAGAGGCCACGTTCCCTCTGGACTTCTTACCTTGATCCATAAAAGCACGGCAAATTGTTGCTGATCCAGGCAGCTCAGCTGTTCAAGACATCACAGTGAAGAAATGTACCATTAAATTACTTTTCCATGCACAGTTTATAGGTGCTGGTAGTCCATGCTGGGCTGTAAAAAAATGGGGGGATTGTTCCTTATGAGCTTTGTGCAGACAGCTTGTGTGAGTGTTAGACAAACACCATACAGGCTTATGGCAAGAGAGCAAGGATGTTGAAATAAAAGCATCACTTCTTTCCTGCTGTCACATGCTCTGTGGCCATAGAACTTCACCAAATAGTCAGTCTCTATCTATATTGAGGGGGTTTTAAACCCAATGTTTTCTATTTTTATCTTATGGGCAAAAAGGGGAAAGAATCTTCTCCCCTTCATACGAAATGTCTGTACTGATTATCTCCTTACCTTCCTTTGAAATCCAGCATTTAGACTATTTTCTTAAAGGAGCAGGTCACTAGACACCCTTCAATGGTCCTGCTAAACAAGTCAGATGCCTTTTTATTTTTAGGGTCAGATGCCTTTTTATTTTTATTTTTAAAAGAGCCTCTAGAAGTAGAAAGCAAAACCAACAGCAGCTACAAAACTTGTCAGCAGAAAGACTAAAATGATCTCCAAAGTATGGCTTTAGGTAACCTCACAAATGTCAACCTCTGCCCTCTTGCTCAGCTTCTGTCCTCCAAAGCCACCATCAATATTCTCTGCAACCTGTCACTCCATTGATTTTCCAGCTTTCAGACTCTCTCAGCATTATCATAATGATAATAGCTATTGGAGATTTTCCTGCTATTCATTAATAATCATAAGCCATCAGTTGTTGAGATTATTTGAAACAGCAAATTTACAGAAAGTCCTTCATTTGCTTTTAGCAATTATCTCAGCATCCCAGCCAGCCACAGAAGTGCTGGGGTCTGACAGCTTCAGCACAATGAGATCCAGGAATCTTCAGATTCCTTTCTGAGGAGATTCAGTGTGCTGGCACTTACAGTCCTCTGCCAGGGGCTTAGTGGTGATTATTTAGAATAAACCACAGTCACCTCTGGGCAATCTCCAAGGCTTTTGGCCCTGCCTTAGCCCAGCCCCTTCTGGCCTCTCCTGCACCTGAACTTCTCTGGCCACAGGTCCCTGCACACACACCCCTCCAGTGGTTTTCCCCTTTAGTCAGTTTTTCTCATCTGAGGGGAATTTTCTACCAGTGAAGCCATTAAAATTGACTTATCCTGACTAAATCTTGATGGCAAAATGGACCAGGTTTGCTGGCAAAGCATGAAGATAAGCTGACACAAAATAATCAGCATAAAAATGGTGCTTTTCATTCCTGTTTGATGAAAGTTTTCAAATCAAGACATCAAATGCTCAGCATAGCAAACATCTGCAGACAACTAGGAGCAGGAACACACCTGGCTTATTGTTGAATTTACCTTAGAGCCCTCACACATAGGACAGAAATCACTCCATGACTGGATATAACAAATCACACATCAAACATGCAAAATAAAACCACAAAAAGAAGCCAATCTGACAAGATTAGCATTCTCTCCACCTTTTTTTCTTTTTCCCCCCAGTAAAATCTCCACATGTTTTTCCTCATTTATTCTTATAAACCTCAGCTTTAAAAACACTGTGAGCATAAGAGTTTACATTTTATCTCCTCCCCTGCTGAAACTGGAGCCTGTGGTGAAGTGGAAAGAAGTGGTGATTATTAATTCACTGCCCCACACACAGAAGGATCAATCATCACTTTTGGATAAGCAGAGATGTTAGAGAGAGAGAGGGGGAGTGTGTGTGTCTGTGTGTATGAACACACACACACACATATATGGTAACAACTGGTTTTTCACTTTTCAAACTATTTGCTTTGAGACTGGAACATTCTGATCCTGGCAAAATGACGCAACTTATTAGTGGCAAGAAGTGACTCAGTGCCTTGCACTATTTTAGAAAGCCAGGAAAGAGGACTGCTAACTCTGCTACTTCCAATCCGCACACACTTCCAAATTCAAACTTTATTATGGAAAAAAGGGGAAAAAAAAATAGAAGTACAATGGAAAAAACATTCAAAATAACTCATAAGAAAGTACAAAGAACACTACAGAGCTTTCAATTTGCTCTTCTTAAAATGACCAGGAATGAGAAAACACCTGATCAACTATTTATTCTAATTAGCTCTGCTTTTAAAAACAGATCATGAGACATCAGAAATAAAAAATTAACAAAAAGTCTCCAGGTTTTCTCCATCCATAGCTCTTTCAATAAGCCCAAAAATGATCGATTTAATCCAACTGTTCATCCATGTTTCATACAAAAGTAATTTCCCTCAGGTATTTCATGTGAGTAAGAGTGAAGAGGTATCCTCAGAGGTGTCTCCTGCATCACTGGAAGAGCACACACTGTATCAGGGCAAAAAAGAATACCCCAAAGGCTACTCTAGATTTGCAAAAGTAGAGGTGGGAAGTCTTCAGTTCACTTTACTGTTAATCCTATTTATCCATACCCACAGTTTTGTCTGGTTAAACAAACTTTCAGAGGAAGCATTTTACTTATTTTATGCATATATGAAAAATACAGACAAATTTATACATGAAGGCTCTTTGACACAGTGGTCACAGCATTGTAGAGAGCTACAAGACCCAGCTTCCATTTTGAGCAACAACATTTACATAGACTAAAGTGTAACTTATTTCCCCTCTCAGTTTACTTATCCCCAAAGTGGAACTCCTTGTGCCTACCCACTTTGAAAACCAGGCTTGAAAAAATATTAAAAAAGCACTTTTCTGGGTCTGACACTCCAGCTGTACCCCAGGCACCAAAAGGTGGTTTTGATAGCACAATTTATGACTGGTTTGTGAAGTGAAACAGGCTATGTTAAATACAGGCATGTTTTAGCTTAACAACTATACACAGAAGGATTGTGAAAATTACTAAAGAAGAAAATAAATTTCCATCCCTAAATTCTGAAAAATTGTGGGACACAATAACTGAAAGTTATTAAAACAGTTAAAGTATTGTTAATTAAAGAAAAACAAAAAACAAAACAAAAAAAAGCAACAAAAAACAACAAGAGGGAGGGCTTAACATTTGCCATTTATTAGAGAATACAATAATGCCATACTGTGTCATGCTGCCTCTCTGTGCCCTTATGCACACAATCAACACAGAGATGCAGGCATAACACCTGAGAGAGCAGGAGACTCCTCTCCTACCTCTGCAGCGAGAACCTTTGTAGCAAGTATTGAAAATACCAGCTAAGCATTTCTCTGGCACCTATTTCCATAATCACCATTTTTAGGTGGATTTTCCAGGAGAGATGGTTTTTGTTTTGAAGCCAGAGTAGTCTACATAATCCTGTAATTTCATGTAGAGTAGTTTCTGAGTTCACAACAGTGCCAATGTCATATGCAAGCTCTACTTCAACAAAACTCCCTGTAATCATGCTTGGTAGCTGTTTATGAAGAAAGAGAAACCAAAGTATGCCTAGAGAGAAGGAAAAATTAGGAGTAAGATAATTAAAACAGAGATGGAAAAAAAAAAAATCCCAAACCTAGGGCTTGGGAAAAAAATAGAGAGGATTATTGTCTTACTTAAGTGATCCCCTGTATTGAAAAGAGATTGCAATCAGAAATCTGCCACTTATCCAACAAATTAGCCTGACTTTCAAAGGCATCCTTTAGCAGATGTGTGCCTTGAAGTAATCAGTGCACCCATTACATGGAAAGCCATTTATTGCAGGAAGCAGGATTAGACTGAATCAAGGAAACAAAATAAACTCCCCCTCAAAAAAAAATCCCTAATTAAAATCAGGTAATCTATCTTTCAGACAAAAGTATTTTCAACCTGAGGCATCATCTGGTATGAAATATTGAGAATAACTGGAGAAGTATAATTCAGAGATCTCTACAGGTTTTTTTCCAGTTTAAACCTGAAGGTTTGTGAGTAAGCTGACACACTCCCTGGAAGAGACAAGGAGTGTGCTTTATGTCACCTCCAGTATCAGCCCCCGACTTTATAAACACATAAATTCATTATGCAATGCAAAAACTTGGTTTCTCAGCAGCCAGGGAGGATGAGGGGTTTGTTTTCCAGATCTGCCATTGGCTTTGGCACATCACACCCTCTTCTGCCTCTCTTCTCCTCGGGGAAAGTCATGGGTTCAGAGCTGTCTGGGTCCTACAAATGGCCCCTCAGCTCCCTAAAACTGATCTGGGGACTAAGAAGTAACAGACTAGAAATGCAAAAGCACTCATCAGTACTGGCAGAGAGGAAAAACAAAAATAAAACAAAACACTTTTGATTGTAGTGTCTCATTCCTCACCTCATCATCATTGGCCTAATGGTTAAAATAAATTAATGTGAAATTCCCCTCTCTCCCATTCCGAATTGCAGCACTGCAGAGCCCTGACCAAGTTATTTAACCTCTCCCTTTGTTTTAACCAGGGTTAAGATTCACATCACCTCAAGTCTGAAGAAGTTTATTTGAAACAAAGATGCTTTGAAGGATAAGTAAGCAACAGAAAAAACACAAAGCACAAATATACAGTAATGAACCAGATACTGTAAAACAAAATACTTTTCTTCTAAGAAAAATCAAAGATAAAATTTGAAAGTCAGATTTCTAAGCAGCAGCAAAAGAAGTGAACTCAGATTTTACCATATCCCATTATATTTGGGATGATCTGAAAATGAAGTTCACTAAACAGCAAGCTTACATATGAAGAAAAACATTGTTCCAAAAATGCAAAGTTTCATAAAAAATGTACATTTATGATAGTTCAAATCTTTCAGATTCTTAAAGGTTTTAAGTCTGATTTCTCTAATATATGGGCTTTTTTGGCCATTCCTGCTACTTCTTTGTGATCATTTGCTCAAGCATTCATCAAAGGCAGGCACTGAACATGGGAACCCCTTTCCTGCATGTCAAATATGCCCTAAAAATCCTGGATGGGTTAGCACAGACAAACAAATACATAAGAGAATGTAATATGAGCTTTTTGGACATTTGACACAGTTTGGAAATGTTCACCTCTTTTTTTCAGC